CCTTTTCGGCTCAGAGAAGTTACATGACTTGGCACATGTCCCATAGCTCAGAAGTGGCTCAGCTGGGATTTGAACCAGTGTCAAAGCCCCTACACTGGCTTCCCTGGAGGGTGGATGTTTACTCATTCATTCATTCCAGTCTCTAGGGAGCACCCTATCTGTGCCAAGCACTGTTGGATCAAGCAACTGCCTGTGGATCAAGCAACTAGCCTTGCCTGCCCCCTCCTGTTAGGGGAGGAGACGGGTGATAAACAGTGACATGTGACAAGAAGAAAAATAAAGCAGAGGAAGGGGTCAGCGTCTGGGCGAAGGGACGTGTGCACCTCTCCTTTGTCTAGAACAGTGTTTTTGCAAGCCTGGTCCACACCCCCATCCAACCGCTGGCTTCCAGTCTGCAGCGAGATGAAAGACATGCCGTGTCTCTATTTCTGCACCTGCAGGACAAATAGACTGTTCTTTGAATAGCCCTGGCCTAAATTATTCCTGGATCCTTAGATCAGTGCAGCTGTTGAGTATGCTGCGGGCCTCCGGGACCCATTCACCCCGGCTCCTCATCAGCCTCATCTTCCCGCCAGGCCACACAGATCCCAGGAAACCTGTTGCAGAGGACGGCACTGGCCTCATTCATCTGGCACATGGGATGATACAGGGCCTGTCAATCCCTTCTAAAGGAATCCATGTCTTTTAGAAGGTGGTGTGAGCTTCATGGGCCGTGGAAAAAGACCTGAGTTCCAACTCAGGCTGTGTCACTTAATAACTACATGATCTGGCAATGCCTTTGCTTTGCTTACCTCTAAGATGGGGATAATGGAGCCATGAAGGAATAAGTCAGGCACACTAGGACCTTGACCCAGGACCTTAACCCTGCTGTGCATGCATTTGCATGTGTGTGCATGTATGTGTGTGTGTGTGTGTGTGCATATGTGTATGTGTATGACAGCTGCCTCCTCCACTACTGTTGGAGAGTCCCTCCCAGGAGCCCCTGCGGCCAGGGACACTGATGTCCTCTTCTCTGGTCTTTCACCAGATTGCCAAGGGATCATCGAGGACGTCGTCCTGCTGGGTGCACCCGTGGAAGGAGATGCCAAGCACTGGGAGTCTTTCCAGAAGGTGGTGTCCGGGAGGATCATCAATGGCTACTGCAGGTCTGTGCAAACCTCACACCAGTGGGGGGGGGACAACACTCACTGAACACTTAGTGTGCCTGAGCCCTGGGCGGGGCCAGCCCTGTGCAGGGAGATTATAGGAACCAGCAGGTGCTCCCTGATCTGAGGAGGATCCTTGTATGTAGGACATAGATGGGCACCAGGGAAGATCCTGAAAAGGACGTCCTGTGTCAGGCCTGAGAGCAGCCCACAGGACGACAGGAGAGTCTGTGGCGGCTCTGCCTGGTTGGAGCTGGGGGAAGGGACTTGGGTGAGTGGGACACAGACTGACAAACAGAGATGGCCCACAGGCAGGCCTCCGAATGACTGCAAGAGAACTCATGTACTATTGTCCTTGGCAGTGGGGAAAGTCGGGGTGGGGGGGGTGTCCAGGCAGGGCTTTCTGAGTGCTGCCTCCAGGCAGGGTGATAGGACAGGAGGCTGACTGTATGACTTAGCCAGGCCCAAGCACGGTGACAGACCTTCGAGCGAGTGTGGGAGCCTGTGAAGGCTGGTGGCTATGGGGCTGGAAAGGAAGACACTGTTATTTGGGGTTTGAGAAGAAGGACTCGTGGGGTTTCAGCCAAGGCTGCAACCCAGACTTTGGGGAAGGAGAGAGGATGAAGCCCACCCAGGCCTCAGGAGATCAGCCTGAGAACATGCCCATCTCTTCAGCCTCTGGATGAAGCAAAGGACAGGGTGACAGTGTTCAAGATGGAACAGTGTTCATGATTTGGAATAGCGCAGACCAGGGTCCTAATGCCTGCCTCAGTTTGTCTATCAGTAACGGAGGGATAACAGTAGCAACTGCCCCCATGGTTGCGATGATGGTTGAGAGATTTACGGAGTTGCACGTGGTACAGGCAGATAAGTGACAGGTGATGTTACCATTTCATTTTTCATCACCATCAATCACATGGGATAACCACTCAGCAAACTCTTAGTGGGTGCCAACTTCATGCCAAGGCACCGTGGTGGGGCTATACAGTGAACATGACCTGTCAAGGCCCAGGACTGGCCAGGTCTCAGGCCCAGCTTAGGTAGGTTCCGGACGCGGACCACTAAGCTGCCTTGCTCAGGAACAGTTTCTCGTAGGTGCTTGAGGGCTATCTACTTTAGCTGGAGAGAGAGTATCTTAGAGAGAGTAAAGGTCTTCTTAGAACAGATAGCTCTTAGTCTTTAGCAGAGCGTGGTAATCTTCAGCAGAGAGACACCGTGCTGGCGTTCTGCAGGTAGGAGAGGAGACAGAGTCAGAGTCAGAGTAAGTGGACCCGTGATAGAATGCGCATGCCTCTTGACGGCCTCCTGCTCCAGCCTAATATAAGGCTGAGCTCGTGCCTCTCAACACCACAGGTGTAGAGACTGCCAATTCACCAATGCTCTCATCTCGCGAGCTCACTTATGCGTGTTAGAACCAAATCTCTCTCCATGCCCTTTTCACCAAGGTGTTCCATTACAGGTATTTCCTATCACTCTCACTCCTCCTAGCCATAGGCTATACGGGCTGCTACAATGACCCAGCCCCGGCCTCATGAAACATTACATCCAACAGGAAATATAGACAGGAGAACAGACAACTCTAGTCAGGCACACAGGAGCTTGTCAGGACACCAAGCTCTAAGAGCTCTGAACACTGAAGGCTTAAATCAGGTTCTGTGGCTCATGCCTTTAGTTCCAGCTACTCCGGGCGGGAGGGATGGCTTGGGCTCATGAGTTTGATGATAGCCTGGGCAATGTAGGGAGACACTGCCTCCAAAATACAAAATAAAGTAAACCAAAGATTCTTTTCCCCAGTCATAATGCAAACTCATTTAGTGACAAATTTTCCCTAAACTGATAAGAGACAATGAAGGTCTTTGCTTCTCCCCCTGTGCATATGGGATGAGTGACTAGAGGACACCACCCCAAATCTTGAAGGAATATTTTGTGATATATCAGCTACACGCAGGATTCCTTTTGTAATATCAAAAACGTATAGATTCTGACACACAATAGGCCCGAAGGATTTTGGATAAGGGGCCTATATTTTAAGGTCATGGCCACAAAATCACAGGATACTGATCAAATCTCCCAGAAAAGGTGACAGTCTAAGCCCATATCCGAAGAACACATTTGGAATTTAAGAAGCAATAAAGTTGTGCGATTAATTGCGGGGAGCAAAAAAGAAAAAAGGGAGGAAAAATGACTCCAGAGATTTGATGGGAGGTGACTGGCTCCATTAACACAACTTTAAAAGTAACAATTAAAAAATAACAATGAGAAAGAACTTGGTGGAGAAGCAGCTGATTCTTTGGGTGATGAGTGTGGACTTCGCAGCAGCAGCTGAAAAGGCAGCACTGGGACTCAGAGGGAAATTAGAACCAGAGCAAGGGCCAG